CGTTTAAAATAATACCAAAATTATCCTTTTGAAATTAGGGGTATTACAAAAAAACTGACTTTGCTGGTTGTCAAGACATTATACAAATCCACTTCAAGTATTGTTTTACTGTTATGACAAGTGATAGAAGCGGAGTTTATTTGCATGTTATAAGGCCACGTTTCATGTATTACAAAATACCGCTACAGTCTTATATTGAAGAAACAATAAGAGTTCAAGTTGGTCTAAAATATGACTGTTCATGTAAATGAGGCTTTTGGAGGAGCCTCAATGTAGTCTCATGGGATGGAGATCTCAAAAACTGTCTGTCCAGAAATGAGCTTGAAGACTTGAGGTACACTGGTATATACTTCACATAGACAAACAGCAGCCTAGGATCAGTTAATATCTCAAAAAAGTTAGATAGAGTTCGAGTCAATCATGCTTGGATGAACTTGTTCACTCAATCTTCAATTGATTTCCTGCCCCATGGTATCTTAGACCATTAACTAATGGTGGTCAAACTTGGACTAATAGCACCAAAGAAAAACCTGCCTTTTAGAATATTCAATTTCTGGGCTACAAATGACAAATTTCTAGACAATGTGCAGCAAGGTTGGCAAAAGCAAGTCCATGGCATAAAGATGTTTTGTGTAATCCAAAAACTGAGATCCCTAAAACACCCACTGAGATCACTGAACAAGAATGACTATGGGGAAATTTCATTGAAGGTTGCAACTTGTAAAGAAGAGCTATGTCAGTGTCAATTAAGCCTTGACCACAACCCTGCATATAACATGTTAAGAATCAGTGAAAAAGAAATTACAAAGAAGTATGTTTACCTCTGCTTGGCTGAAGAGATGTTCTTCAAACAGATTGCACAGATACATTAGTTAAGAGTTGGGGATCAAAATACTGCCTATTTTATGAAATGCTTATCTTCAAAGGTTAACAAAAGGAAAGTTGTTTCAATTGAGGACCAAAATTGAGAGGTCGTTCAGGGTATATATTGATTTACAGAATGAATTCCTAAGTTACTTTTAGAACCTGTTGGGGTAAAGCTACAACCACTACCCAGGTATGTCTTCTTTCTCAAACTTAATTTCCAAGTCAGTTCCTGCCAACCTTCTACCCTCACTAACTGAAATACCCACTGACTGGGAAATACAATCGTGCATTCTCTCATTCCATCCTTACAAAAGCCCTGGTCCTTATAGCTTTAACTCATGTTTTTTCACTCATGCTTGGCCTATTATTGGCCAAGATATCACAGCTGCAATTAAGGATTTTTTTGTTTCTAGGAGAATGCTTGCTGAAATAAATTGCTCATATATAGCCCTTGTTCCCAAAGTCCTAATCCCATCATTGTCAATGACTATAAACCAATATCTTGTTGTAATTTGATATATCAATGCATTTCGAAAATTATATCTACCAAACTAAGCCTGGTCTTCCTTTCAATTATAATCCCTACCCAAACTGCTTTTATGAAAAAAAAGACATATCACTTATAATATCCTACTTGCTCATGAACTACTAAATGGTTACCACAAATCATCACATCCACCTGCTGTGCTCTCAAAATTGATCTTAGAAAAGCATTTGACACTATTCATTGGCAATTTATCTTGGATGTTCTCTTCTTGTTTGGCTTTCCACATCAGTTTATCCATTGGATTACCCAGTGCATTACCACCCTATCATACTTCATTTCCCTTAATGGACAACTGTGTGGTTTCTTTGAAGGAAAAAGAGGAGTAGGACAAGGGGACCCTATCTCTCCCCAGCTGTTTGTCTTGCTATGGAAGTCCTAACCCTCTCCCTTAATATGACAATCTCACAAAACACTAATTTTAAATACCATTGGAGTGGCAGCAAACTATCAATATCTCATTTAGCATTTGCAGATGACATTATGTTGTTTTCTAATGGGGATTTATCCTCTATTGAAGTTTTACATACTGCATTGAACAATTTCCTCACAATCTCTGGACTCTCCATTAACTACTCCAAAACCCAAGCTTTCTTTGTAGGGCTGGACAGTCACACTAAGAACACCATTTCTTCTCTACTACAGTTTTTGTACACTGCCAATCCTTTACCTGGGGCTACCACTGTCCTCCTCAACTATCAATGTCATTGATTGCCAAACCTTAGTCCAGAGAATCACAGTCAGAATCAGCAATTGGACATCAAGATTTCTCTCTTATGCAGGAAGGGTTTTACTGATCAAGTCTATCCTCTTTTCCATTCAAGCTTATTGGAGACAAGCCTTTATCCTTCCCATGAAAATTATTGATCAAATCAACCAAGTTTTGAGAAGTTTTCTCTAGTCTGGGACAGACCTTAAGAAGACTAGTGTTAAGGTGGCCTGGACTGCTATTTGTAGGCCAAATTTTTTTAAGGGACTTGCATTTCCTTGCCTTGAACTCACAAATAGGGTGTCAAGTCTCAAGCATTTATGGAGGTTGTGCTCTAGGAATGATAGACTTTGGGTGGCTTAGAGGCCAAAACCATTTGGACTGTCAAAGCTTTAACCAATAGCTCAGGCTTTTGGAGGAGGCTGCTCAAGCTAAGATATATGGCTAGGGGACTTTTCACGCATAAAGTGGGAGCTGGGGACTGCACAAGTATATGGATTAACTACTGATTACCAAATGCACTCATTACACATCAGCTTGCTCTCACTGATATGAAAATTCTTCAATTGGACCCTCAAGTCAGAGTTGATAGCCTAATTTCCAATAATCAGTGGGACATCCCAAGCATATTACATTATATCCCATTCTTCCAATCTCAAGATATTAACACACAGCTACAGAGTATTCCCCTTTCATCAAATGATAACGATCAAGTTCAATGGCTCCCTAGCTCAACAAATGAATACTCTCATAAGCTTACTATGAAGTATTTCTCACTTCCTTCTCTAGTCTTTGCTTGCGACCATCTCATTTGGTTCAAGTACCATATACCCAAGCATGGTTATATTGAATGGCTGGTACTCAAGGAGAGATTGGAAACTCTTGATACTAAACCAATGTTAAAGAAACACTACACAAATGGTTGTTACTTGTGTCTTTCAGAAGGTGAATCAGTGGACCACATTTTCTTCAAATGTCAATACATCAACATTATTTGGGAATTCATTCAATATGCAGTAGGTTTCTACATCAAACCAGACAATTGGAGGGACCTAATCACTTGGTACTCATCAACATGGACTCAGAATCACTTCATTACACATAAGCTTCTTCTCTCATATGCCATCTAATTCATTTGGCAGGCGAGAAATGCAAGAGCATTTAGGAACAAATCAGCTTCAACTCATCACATTATTCACCTCATCAAAGGATGCATCAGAGCAAGGTTTGCTTCTCTCAAGCTAAGAAATGGTGTTGAATTAAGGAGGATTGGTTCCCTTGAGGCAATGCAACAGCTTTTCATTCAAGGATGCTCCTTTGCCAGTGGTCAATCATGGTTCCTCCTATGATTAAGCTTGGATTATCTTCACACTTATCCTGGTTGAGTTAGATCATACTTTGAGAGTTTACTGATACACTTTGCTAGTTTACTATACTATTCCACTATGCTGCTATGAATGCTGATGAATTGGATTATTTTGTATTCCATTTGGTTAGTTAAGGTTATAATGGATTTCTTAGAATGTAGTAGGTTTCTTTGCAAGGCCTTATAAAACTAAGTGTGGCACTGCCAAGGAAAATGTTCCTTGGGTGGTTAATGACTTATGTTGTACATATTTTTCCTTTTACAAAGCTTACCCTTTTAAGAAAAAAAAGAAAATACAAATATTTAGGTGGTTCACCTTATAGACTACATCCATGGTAAATTTGACAATATGTGAAGAACTACCAGAGATTACAAATTTTCAAGCCCCCAATCCTTCTCTCTTTTATTTTTTGTTCGGTTTTTAGTATTCTCTCAAGCCCAAATGCATTACAAATTCATAGGACCCCTTATTTACCATGTTACAACAGAGGCTAAATTCCCAGTCCATGATTAATAAGACAAATTGGGTCAAAATTTTCATAGAAAACGGATGACAACGTATGTGACTCCAGCCAAAAGAAATTAAATTTGGAGCACAACGTACTTGACAATAAATAATGGATCAACGGGTGTATATCCGCAAAATTGGGAGCCAAATACAACAGTTAAGGAGGGTTTTTTTTTTTTTTAAAGATTAACATGTGGTATCCGGAGCTTCACCCAGACTAATCCCCAAGGAACCAAGAAATGCGCCTCCCCACCAGGAGCCAGCTAAGTCTCGAAGTATTACCGCGAAAGCGTTGCCCAAACGAAATTGTTTACACCCGTTAAGAATCGAATCTTAGACTTTATACTTCATGAGGCACCAGAGCCAAGTGACCTTGCCACAGCTGGGTCAATCCCTTGGGGTTAGAAGTTAAGGAGGTTGATTTCACGGAATGCATGGTAGAGCTCCAACCGAGAAATTGAAAAACATTAAATCTTAAAAGAGGTATAAAAGTTGTTCATCTACTTCAAGGCCAGCCCAAAACGGTTTGATGGTTGTGGTGGCAAGAAATATAATATTTTTCAAACGGAAATCAAATTAACTCCTTGTTTTATTTGCTCTCTTAAAGAGGAATGAAAGAGTGTTAGTCCAATTTTCTTATTCATATTGTTCTAAAAATATATAAAAATTAATCAAGGTAGAGGAGTTCTATTAGAAAGAGCCAGAAGGGAACAAAAATTCCACAATTCGAAAGAGAAATGATGTACATAATGAAACCTTGTGCTTCTATTTCCAAATGTTCTAATTTCCGCTATACTCACATTACATAAAAGCAAATAGCCAATCTTCTCTTCAAGAGTGTGTGTTTGTGTGTGCATGTGTGCGGACATGCAAATGGGCCGTCGATCTCTATGTTCTTCATTGTAAGATGCACTGTTTCAATGTAGGATGATTGTGGGTGAAAACTTCATATTAAGAGGTACCCATCACATAATCCTCACCAATGATTGTGGGTGAAAACTTCATATTAAGAGGTACCCATCACATAATCCTCACCAAACAAGTAAATCATCCTATCTCTTCTCCATGGATCTCCTCCACTCTTCACTTCATCCTTTCCTTGACTTGGCAATAGTTTAGCTCTACACAGAGGGCAAGTTACTTGACCTTCATCGATCCAAGCATTGAGGCACTCTCTGTGAAACACATGACAACAATTGCAAAGCTCTCTAACCTCATCACCACCCTTCATGAGCTTCAAGCACACCACGCAAAGTGAATCAACTCTACGCGCTCCAGACCTTTCAAGGACACAACCAAAGTCAAGCACCGGGACTCGATCCTTGATCATTTCGGTCGTGCAGTGGACAGGGACCGGAACCAACAAAGGAGATGGACGAGATTCTGCAACAGAGCCATTGGTGTGTTTCTCAGATAATAATGCTCTATTTAGAAGAGGGATACAAGAGAGTACCACCAGGAGAATGTCTTTGAGAAGACCTAATAGAAGGTTGCACAAGGCTTGTGTAAAACAAGAAGAGCCCATTAATGCAATGTGGTTGAAGAGCTGAGAATAGGAATTGAAACATCTCAAATGAGGTGGTGGGTTTATATAGAGATTCAAGCAATTAAAGGATGGACAATACTTGACCAGTGGTCTTTGGGAAAATTAGGAGCAGTTATGTATAGAATGGTGCCACTTGTAATAAATATATATATATATATATATATATAGAATGGTGTCACTTGTAATAAATATATAGAATGGTGCCACTTGTAATATATATAATGGTGCCACTTGTAATAAATATATAGAATGGTGCCACTGGTAATAAATATATATATATATAAATATATATATATATATATATATATATATATATTTATTTATTTATTACGAGTGGCACCATTCTATACATAACTGCTCCTAATTTTCCCAAAGTCCACTGGCCAAGTATTATATGAGCTGTGGTTATAATGAGATAAGATAGACCCATTCTCGAGGTGTGGTTAATGATAAAAATAATAATAAATAAATTGGCTAAACCAAGGAAGAGACATAAATTTCAGTTTGGTTAAGGGAGATGCCTCAGTTCTACCAAGAATTTCCGTACATGATAGCGTTTTTCTTTTTTATTAATCGGTAGTACGTTCAAACAAACATGTATGCATTTATTATATTTTATATCATATAAATTAGTATCTATTGGTAGCATTCGTGATAGTCTAGGAAAATACCGAATCAAAGTTTTTTTTTAATTTTTTTCAAGGCGAGTAGACTTTTGGAGATGGTAAGAAATTCAATAAAAAGATTGTCAGCTCTACAAACACGTATACATATATAAACACATGTATATTGCAAACAAGTCAGCTCCACAACTTAGAATTCATAATATTTGATTGGACAAACTTTGGTTTCCTTTCAATTTGTTTTAATGCAAAGCTTGACGGAAGTAATAACATATTTTGAAGTCAAAATTACTTTCATTATCAACAACTACGTAAATAAAACTAAATGGATTAAGAAAAACTTCCTAATTGACACAACTCGATCATGAGTGTAAGACTTGGTAGCCGTACAGTCACGTACTAATAGGACAATGGGGCAGTTAGAGCTCTCTCTTCCCCCATCAACTTGACTTAACTTAATGTTGATTGTCAAAGCCATAGCCGCATTGTAAATTTACGCCATACGTTTTGGCTATACTACTTTTCATGTGAAGGAATGCGGCTGCTTCAAAGTTTGCCTGTAGATATAAGTATAAGGTGCGCATTCAGGTCATTAGTATGTCCGGTTAATAAAAGTTAAAATACAGATAGTTTATAGCAATTTTAAAAAATAAATTAGATTAATTTCATAAAATAATGTATTTTTATCGACTACGCATGTCAACTGAAAATCTTTTCAAAAGTATGTTATGAACTTTAAAGAGTGCCAAAAAAATTGAACAATGGACCCTCTGTCAACAAGTAGGAATTATTATTCTCTTGAAATTCAAATGCCTTCAAACACCTTGAATGTAATGAAATATGGAGACCGGTATTGATTTACTTTAAACTAAGAAAATACTGATTGTAGTGCGAATAATGATAATTTTTTAAAACAGTTTTTTGAAAATTAAAGCAAAAGAAATTTTTATACTATTTCCCGTTTTCAATTTTTTTATAATAAAAAATTATTTTTATAATTACAAACCAGGCCTTTCTTTTTCGAACCAAAATGATATCAGGGGTCGAATTGATATTGTTGCTATCCGAATTGTACACTTCATCCAACAATTGTGTTGTTGACTTTTAATTTTGTAAGTATTTTCTAACTCCATAATCGATAGCGAAAATCAACTGGTGTGGCAATTAATTCTTTGCCCTTTAATAAAATATTAATTTTTGATTTAAAATACAAAAAAATAATAACAGAATTACCCTTCAACTTTATTAACCACAAGTTTCTTCTCTCTCTACCCTCTCACCGAAAACCCACTCACCTTGTACAACTCCTTTCTACCCACTCACTTTCTGCAAATTCTGTCGATTATATGTTTGTACATATATACATTAACTTTTCTCTAATATATGTATGTAGTATATACGTACATATATATAGATATATATACATACACACAGTCATCACTATGGCCACTTGTTAGGTAGCGTAGAATAATGCGGAAGCAATTTTTCATGTGCCAAATAGGATTGTCTCAATTAGCTTTAACAAATTATGAATGTTCCTGGATTATTGTAGAGGGTTGGATCACTTTGTCTCATGAACAATTGTTTGCCACCAAATTTAATCGATTGCTAGATAAATGTCCACGATCCTTGATATGATCTAATGAACTATGGTGCCTCCGGATCTTCATTTCTATCTCCGAGTAAGAAATAGACGAGCAGTGAGAAGTGTAAGCTTCAGATCTCCTTTTAAATTCTTGTGTGTATTAGGACAATCCTATTATTTCTATATATAGAGATAGATAAAGTTCCAACTAATTACTTTCCGTATTCCACACTAATTCACCTTTGATCTACTGCTTACATTTCAAGTTGGATTAGGAGTGAGATCTGATAGGATTATCCTTATTATTAACTTCAATATGGCGTTTTAATAGCTTACTAACATACAACCTCCTAAAATACCTCTATTAATTATTGTAACTTCGCTATAAAGAAATAAATGCAGTTGTATGTGAGGGATGATGTTGAGGCGCTTAGCCGGTTGTATGTGAGGAAGATTGTAAGGTTACATGGAGCTCCAGTGTCAATTGTTTCATATAAAGACTCTCGGTTTATTTCCAGTCTTAGGAGGGATTTCCGATAGCGCTTGCTACGTATTTGTTTTTAGCACGGCTTTTCATCAACAGACGGACGGTCAGTCGGAACGTACAATCTAGATTTTGGAGAATATGTTTCGGGCTTACATTCTTGATTTTGGAGGCAATTGGGAAGACCACTTACCATTAATGGAGTTTGGCTACAACAATAACTATCAGGTTAGCATTGAGATGGCTTCATTTGAAGCGTTGTATGGCAGAGCATGTAGATCACCGATTTTTTAGATTGAGGTGGACAAGGCAACCATCTTAGGGCTTGACATCATGCATGACACTATAAAGAAGGTCAAGCTTATTAGATAGAGATTACTCACGGCACAGAGCCGCCAGAAGAGTTACGCGGATAAGAGGAGACGGCCGTTTATCTTTTGAGGTGGGAGACCGCGTTTTCCTTAAAGTCTTGCCATGGAAGGGATTGATGAGGTTCGGGAAGAGTGACATGTTGTTGCCACGGTTTATTGGTCTGTTTGAGATCTTGAAGCACGTTGGGAAGGTTTCTTACCGGCTAGCATTGCCACCATTTATAGATAGAATCCATAATGTCTTTCACGTATCTATGTTTTGGAAGTACGAACAGGATCCGTCACACATTTTAAGTTAGGTCGACGTTGAGGTTGACGAAGATATGACTTACGAGGAGAGACCAGTCTAGATTATTGACAGACGAGAGAAAGTATTGAGGGACAAGAAGATTCCATTAGTGAAGGTTTTATGGCGTCGCCATGGTGTTAAGGAGGCTACTCGGGAACTGGAGCAGGAAGTTCGTTCTAAGTACCCGAGCTTGTTTCCTTCGCCATGTATGGTTTGATTTCGAGGATGAAATCATTTTAAGTTAGGGAGATTGTAATGTCCCTGATTTTTTCAGATTTTTTAGTATTTTTTATTTCTGTGCCATGTTTTATGCGCCATGTGGGTCTCGGTATTTTTTTCCCCATTGTCCTTATTTATTTATTTGGCCATTGAGGTGTATATATATGGTTATATGTGTGTGTGTGTGTAGGGGGGGGGGGGGGTTTAAGGGAGGATATAATTTATGACATGGATGTGGTTTTAATACTGGTGTTAGGGGTATTTTGGGTATTTGGTATAGTTAGTGGAGGGCATCTCTAACCCTTTGACTTTGGAGGACACTAGAAGCTTGTTTGGACCACACAAGTACTCATTATTCTCTCTCACATCCGGCCACTATCTTCTTTCTCCCTTAATTTTCCTTTCTCAATCTCTCTATATCTCCATCTTCTCTTTAATATCCCTCAATCTGGAGTAAAAATTGGCCTAAGCCATTGTTAGAAGAGTTGTAGAGCTTGACAAGGGTTACATTTTGACACCGGTCTTGTATCATTTTAGTGGGATTTCGAGTTGGGATCTAAAGCTTGGGTTGCTCCATTTGAGGTAGAGAAGTCTAAATTACAACGTATTTAATCTTTTTTAGTTTTTATATGTATATTTGTTTGAAAGCATGATTATGCGTTAGATGTTATTCTCTACATGTTGATTTCCTTGATGTGGTTGTTGCTTCACATGAAACATGCTATGAATGTGATGAACAAGTTTAATTAAATTAAAGCATGTTAAATTTGATATTTTTATGAGTTTATTTCCTTGAGTAGTGTGAGAATGATTTGATATATAACATGCATATCATGAACATTGTATGGGTTCATGGGTTGGAAAAAGGTGATGAAATGATTTTTACAAGGTTTTGTGAAGTTAATTTATTTAAAATTGAAAAGTTTTGAGAAGAGGCTATGAAAATCGGGTGCCATGGAGTTGCCATGTGGTCCAGGGGTTAGCCAACTTAAAAGGAGCACGAGACGAAATTTTGACGTGTATAACTGAGCTACCTAGGCTCCAAATAATGCTAGCCAATACCCTTCGTGATGCCTAGGAGTCCCATAAGGTGTGGTTGTGTTAACATTTTCGGTGTGGGTTGTATTGTGGTGAAATTGGTTTAGTAAAATAGGGAGAGTGCATCTCATTGAATTTCATTTCATCATTTGAAAAACATGGAATTAAAGTGTATGTTTGTGATTGTTCCACCCCCCCCCCCCCCCCCCCCACATTGTATGACCCCTTTCTCTTGTTATCCTTTGCTTTGTGTGCGATCAACTGGATTACAAGAGGTGTAATTTAGGTTATCTCTATTAAGATGTTGTGTTCACCCTATATTCTAAGATTTTCAGGGGATGGCAAAGACGTTGTAGATGATGCACCCCCG